CAATCGTCTGAACTTTTTTGGAAAGACCACCCGTTTATTTATTTATTTGTGACTTCAAGAACAAAATATGCCAACCTTTATATCTGAAATACCAAATTACGATGCAATAACGTTCGTAAATTTTAATCATGATAGCATGATTCGAACAGCTGGACTTTGGAGCAAAATGCAGGAATGGTTTGAGACCACATTCTGATTTGGCTATATTTTAAAGCTAAGTATGTTAAATTATTGCAAGATGATTATAGGCGCATTTTGATTGTGAATGATCGTCAGATGTGTCATGTGTGATTCGTTGCTTCGAAATCAGCGTTGCCAAACAAATACATTTGGCATGCACGCAGGGTGGAATGTAAATGGAGGATTGAATTAATTTACTACAAAATCAAATTTTAAAAATCTACAGCATATATCCTGGTCCACCTACTACTACAAATCGGTTTACTATCAGCAAGATAGATTATTCCCGTGTTAGCTGCATTGGCACCCTAATATGCATTTCTGGTACCTAACCCCACTTTTATTAGCAAGGAATGAGTATAAAAGTCCGCCATGGTTTTGCAGGAAGCTATGGGAAGTTAAAACTGTCAGGTGCTCATTGTCCAATGCCAACGTAAGCATCAGCCTAAAAGACAAAACGTAAATCAAGGATTACTACTAAAGCGGCAGTTTTCCTCCTCACTTGCGTCCACATAGCGTTTTAGTGAAGTGAACAGGGGAGGCGATTGTAATAGTAATCACTTGGACTGCAGAAAAGCGCCTCTTGACTACCTGGTACAAGTGGAAGAGAAAAAAATGTGAATAGTCGTATGGAGTACCTTGTCATCGTAAACTACTGGAATTCCTCGGTCTTGAGTAGCATACACTACTGCATTGCCAATCTCTATTGAAAGTGAAAGATGGCTCTGTGCAAACAACACTATTGTCTTATTTGCGTCCATGAGGAAAAGAGTAATGTCACCTTCAGATTAACTGTCAAATAGGCAGAATAAATTCGGTTTGTTAAACAATGCAGTCTATCTGCAAAACCACTCTCTTAGCCGGACTAAACTTAGGCTTCTTCTTTGTCGTTTGCTCCAAAAATGCTAATTTTCCTTCGTTTAGAGCTTTACAGGTAGATAAAGTCCTACAGAACGGTGAGGTATTAAGGTGTTTTCACCTGCAGGAATACGTGTCCCTATCTCTCCCGCTTTTGCGGTCCCTCCCAAGCGTCTACCTTTCGAACACCCACTAGTCAGGCCATGTTGAAATGGAAGTGGGTGGTATGGACCTCCACGCTTGACAGAGCGATATAGATGTGGTGATT